TATCGCATCTAGATAAGCAATAATTACACACAGCCGGCTACGGACGTTTTCAGAATTTAAAGTGTAAAAACCTCCGCCATTAAACAACTTAAAACCATTACGGGCATTTGGAAAAAACTGTTCAAAAATTACCACTCACACAAAGACAAACGTCGTATGCGACCCAGCGAACCGTTGCAAACTCAACTGTCACAACACGCAATAAATCACAAAATGGAATGCCAGGTCCGTGTTATAAAGTCCTCGAAAATTAATAATAATAAAACGTAGAAAAACCGCGTTAGCAATAAACTTTCTGTAATCTTTTATGTTATAATCTATGTGAACGAAAGAGACGGTCAAGCCGTTAGGTGACACGTGTAAAAGAGATAGTTATATTTCGTAGGTTTTTGCTAAGTCGTGACCAGTAGCCAATCCGGTGGCCGCTGGGGCGGTGCCCACAAAGAAATAGGAATTCGAAGTTTGAAATTGGTTCGAATGCTATCGTTGATCAGAAAAACGTTAGGATTTTGTAATGGAGTAATTTTTGTATTTGTAATATTTAAACCGATAGATTGGTTGCGGGCAATTTAATATGTCTGAAAACATAATTGTGTAGGTACCTGTGTCGGTATATCACTAGTTGGTAGGTGCTGATAGCTTGACTGTTGGTAAAATATATACCTGCAATTCCTTTTTTTATTCCTTTGTCCTTTTTTTATATACCAAACAGCAGGAGTAGGAAGCTCATCTAATGTTAAGTGATACCACCGCCAATGGATAGGTACTTACATTGCCAGAAGGCTCGCAAGTGCGTTGCCGGCCTTTTAAGAAGTGTCTTAAATTCAATCTTAAGTCAAATCGGTTCGAATATACTTCTGAACAGCTTTAGCCACATAGTGGTGGTGCGCTGTAAAACTGTCTTAAATAACGCACAGTTGTGGGTCTGCCTCGGACGTCCGATGATGAGACTATATTTATTTTATTCTGTTTGGTGAATGTCAAAAGGTGAGATTCAGAAACGATACTTTTCGCGAGCTACACCCGTTTGACAAAATCCGATTATATATTTTTTTCTAACTAGCTTTAATACTCATTTCCGAATATCAACCAAAGTACTTAATTAAGTATAGGTATATAAAGGTACCTAGATAACTCAGAGTAAAAATACATTTGTAAAAAAACGCTATAAGTTCAATTTTAAATGACCATGACGAACGTTAACTTGATCAGATATAACCCTAATAAAACGACTTTATTTATACCTACCCAAAAGTGTTAAATTTACTGCTTCCCTTATAAAAAAATCAGTGGCACTACAACCTTTTTAGGTCTGGGCCTCAGATTTCTGTATATGTTTCATGATCATTTGTCAATCCTATAGGCAAGATGGTCAGCCTTCTGTGCCTGCCACCATCGACTTATTGAGTCTAAGGCAAGCCGGCTTCCTCACGATGTTTTCCTTCACCGTTCGAGCGAATGTTAAATGCGCTTATAGAAAGAAAGTCCATTGGTGCACAGCCGGGAATCGAACCTACAGGGATGCGAGTCGCACGCTGAAGCCACTAGGCCAACACTGCTCTTATATAATCCCCTTATATAAGGTGAAGAAAATTCATACTTAGCATTTGGACCAGGTTTAACCAATTACAACAATCAAAGCATATTTCATAACAAAAATGACTCAATAGAATTTAAATTGCAATGAAAACATGAAAAATGCATTGACTGACAGAAGCAGGGTATTGTTATAGATCAAGCCGATTGCAGTAATAGCACCGACCTAGTTAGCTCCAAATAAGTTATAATTAATTTAATAGCTATAAATGTACTGTGGAAATATGTTTAAGCCAATACAATTATAATAATTGCGTAGCATTCGATGCGATTTTTTGTTTGATTTCGTTCATTTTAAAAGTACAAACCTAGGTCCCAGCGTCGGATTCATTTACCTGTTTGTGCTTTAATATGCAGGTAGATCAGACACAAAAGTCTGGAAATGTTTTCCTGTATGAGCGATTGCTGCACATACACATATCCATTGGTTCATAGCCATGATTTCAAGGCGAGTGTGGAGAGGTCCGCTCTCAAGCCACTAGGCGAACTCCTAGTGCACTAATTTTTTTTTAATATACACACGTGTCTTTACTAAGACATCATGGAACATGACAATCTAGCCTAACTTAACTAATAAGTAATTTAAGTCTAACCTGATTTACTAATAAGGATTTTTACATAAGAAAGTGTCCAATAACACTACTTACAGTCTCTATTAATAATAATAATATTAAGTAATTTACCCCATACACCGATGTGTTCCACAAAAAATGTACGGCATGCTGGAAAATGTTACCTATTTGTGAAGAACTCTCAAGATCATTTAATTTTATGTTGTTCTATATCATCATCACCTATATGCCATCAGAGATATGTTGCGACCCTTGGCTTTCGACCGCTCCGCTGGAAATAAGTACGGCGTTTACGGGTAAAGTATCTGTATATGTGTCCAAAAGGAATTACACCAATGCCGTACAGTAATAAATGACCTATATTGCTCCTGGAACTATCGTCGAATTAAAAATTTGCACCGACTTCCGGTACCATCACATTAGTACGGCACTAGGTTTTTCGACATTTATTTTTAATCATCTATACACTTATAACAAAGCCGTACATTAATAATTAATCGAAATTCCTCATTGGTACCTGAGAAATTCCATTCACTCACGTACCTACTTACATGTACCGTCAGAAATGACGGAATAGTGCTCAGAGTTATTTTCAGATATAGTAACAGCCTTCTAAGCGTAATTCACGTTGGGTCATTTCACAGGTATTTTTTGTTCATGGGCTTGTGGTCTATAAGGAGAAGACACTCTGTTCTTGTGTTCTATCTTTTTTCTTTCACTCACTGTGTATTTAGTACTGATGTGCACTAACACTAATTTCTCTTTCTAACATTAATTCACTAGTTCAAATGGTTTTGTCCTTTTAAGTCTTCACACTAGGCCCGTGGTGTCAAGTGCACTAATGCAAAATATTTTTGTTCTTAAATATCGTGGCTATAAATGCACTAAGCACTTGATAATAACAGTATTTTAGAGTTGAGAGACGGATCATGAGTCTAAATTGATTCGCAAAGTTGTAATTCGCGTGTGTCAACGCATAAAGTATTAACAACATGTTGTAAAGTTAGCCTATTGTGTTAGTAAACTAAAATTATAGTTTGAGGTAATTTTAATAGTTAAATAAACATGCTACCCGTTCGTTTGTTGCCAGTTTATTTAGGTATATGTTTTAAAAATTGTCTTGTTTTATCTAATAAATTCTTGAATAATTCAAAGTTGCAAGTTGCAACGTTTTACGGCCCGCTATATTAAAAGTGAATGACTTTCAGGCTCCAGCGATCACATCACGGTGGTGCGAATGAAATATTACACAGCAGGCTGATCACCTACTTCTCTACTAATAAATAAAGTCTCGAAACAGATATAGAATCAAAAAAATCTAAATCATTTAATCATATAGGTAACACAATGTACACTTATGAACGTCAAATAAGAAATATATATATTTAATGCTTCTAATTTTACATTTACTGCCAGTTCTCAAATCAAGGGCGTAGAACGGAAGAGAAGAACTGGCAATAAACTCTCCGCCACACAGAAATCTGAAGTCGAGATTATAGTATGCCTGGTTTGTTATTACTCTTAAACTAGCCTAAGATATCCTGTGTAATATCCTTCTACTTCTAGCTTAGGTCCTAGTTTCTATTTGTAAACTCAAAACACGTTAGTAGGTGGGCACGGAAGCCTAATCATTGAACTGAATGACGGAGTAGATTTAAATAAACACATTTCGATGGGCTATTTCCCGGTGATATCAGAAATAAATGTATAATGTAATAAATATTCGATTCAAGAAACAAAACATTTAATGCATAAAACTACGTAATTACTATACAAATTATATTCCCCAAGACGAACACGTCATGTTTTTTAAATATGGTTTTTAATTTATTTTTAACACGCCCTCTCACTATAATGTCGATTCAAACGTTACTATTAACATTGGATTACTTCATAAAGTTGTCAATTAATAAAGTTTGCAATCAATATTTATAATAGTAAGTCATTAGTCTGTGTGTAATGAAAATTTAACTTTATTTTCTTAGCAATAAACAATTGATAGAGATCTTTGACATTTTGGTTTCGTTTTTAATGTTTAGACTTTACCTTGTTACTGTTTATTTATATGGTTAATTGTGATGGGATGATAAGTATTTATTAATGAGTTGTCTTTAATTAACACAGCGAATGCAATTCTGACACAACGGTAAATAGATGGGGTATCTAGATTCTTATATTAATGGAGTTTTGGCGGTCATTTATTTATATCAATTGTTAAAGGTTATTCCAAAGTAATTTATTTTCATGCATAATTACGTACTACAATATAGGCTTATGGCTGATTCTGCATATGAAAAATTACACAGACTAGACAAGATTTTTACACATACAGAGCAATTATATTATTTACTATGAATGAATAATTTAATTTTAAAATATTATAAATCGATATTATATTTGCGCGCCACCTATTGCCTATATATAGAAATGTAATGGTATTAGAACTATAAGAAAAGGTTGTTATCTTAGTTTAAGTTATAGCCGGTAGATGGCGTTAAAATCATTATAACTGAATAACTTAAAAACTTTCATGCGCGCCATCTATTGAATAGTAAATACATAGCACCGTGCCGCTTAAAGTTATATTTTTTGGATATTATTTTAGACCAATACCGCTAGATGTTAGTAAATTAAATTTTAATTAATTCGTGAGTCAGTTTGCTAGAAAATAAATTCAAGTTGACATTTAAAAGTATTTAATTCTTAAAGTAAAGAGAACATCATAATAACTTGGTTAAAATAAATTACACAGAAAAGCCAAAACAAAACTCTTTTTAAATACATTGTTTTCACAAAGTAATTATTTTATAGATTATTATTTTATATATATATTCAAATACCATGTACACGTTTACATAGCTTGTAATCATTTTTATGAAAACAACTGAGGTAGTGCCAGGCCGTGTCCATTGGTAGGTGAGCTGACGTGTACAAACATTTGTCAATAATCTTGGTTATTTGAAGTCTCTCTGAAAAAAAAGATCTGTCATAATTAATTCATAAAAACAGAAAATTCTCCAATTATTACCAAGAACAAGACCTGGCTGTATGGACTAAAGTCCATTGCCTTTCCCATTAGGGAGCGTTCAAGTATTACGTCACGCAATTTTTGGAGATTATTGACCCCCCCATGTAACGCGCCGTAACGTTGTTTTGTACCCAAGTACAGTACTGTAAGTATAGTAAAACGTTTCGTAACCACCTAGTGACTCTTTATACCTAAAAGTTACCATTATGTGGTGTAAAGTACTGGAAAGTCGAAAATAATATTAACAATAACGTGTAATTCAATCCCCGCCCCGCATCGTAACGTTTTACAAAAGGTTTCCCAAAATTCGTTACGTAATACTTGAACGGTCCCTTTAAGGGATAAATTAATATCATCATCATAAAAAGATATCATGATATTAAACGATGCCATATGAATCCAGAACCAATTAGCTACGCTCTTAAAATATATGTCGGAGAAAATATATCGTCGCTCCATCGATATTGACATCGTCAGTACCGGGTTTAGTGAGCGTCATGCGGGTAAAGTGCGATAAAGTGCACAAAAGACAAGAATAATTATCGAACAATACATATTTATATATAGTAGTTTATATTCCTTTGAACTCTACAAATAACACTTTAGCTTAAACTATAAGGAGCAGTGGGTTCACGATCACCGATCGCATCAATTAATTAGTTTCAACTCGGTCCAACCTCTCAAAAACTGTCTCAAACACTGTCAAAAGTCAAGATGACACCTCGAACAGACTCGTCTGATTGGTCGTAACAATATTAGTAGGTACTTTTATCGTTAACTTATGATTCCAAAGAATTAAACAATTAAATAAAACAAAACAAATCAAGAAATTATGATTTTTAAAAGTAACAGAAGAAATCTCAAATTAACAATAATAATCAACGGTCAATTGAATCGATCATATCATAACATTTCCCGATAATCATAACATTCCCTGACATACGATTATACAACACTTTTCTTCTTGTGACGCGGGATAAAAATCTTACCAAAACAATAGAGTTTTTCAAACTATTCTGTGTAATTTTATTTCTATCTATAGGCCAGGTAAATTTTAGTGAAGTTTGGACTACAACTTCTAAAGTGTTTTAGCTGATTTTAAGATCGATTAGACCCTTTTAAAATAATTATTAGTACGAAAATGTACTTGACTTATTTGTTCGCTTCGTGTAGTTTAATTGATCAAAATGAAAAATTTAATATGAAAAATTTTTTAATAAGCTCAGCTTTCTATTAAGCAATAAAACAGTATAAATGAATACACATTTTATTTTGTAACAGTGCGTAAGATAAATAAACCTGACCAAAGGAATAATCATTACTTTAACGGTATTAGGTAAATTTTAGTCTATCTACAATAAAGAATGAAGGGTAATTGTGAATCGGCTAAAACAATGAGTTTGCTGGAGCTGGAAAAATACTTAAGTCATTTTCTTACAAGCCCCGTAAGCCATACATCTTGGATTTGCAAGTTTAATTGAAAATATATCGTTCAAGTTTGAGGACAATTAGAGACCAACCCCCAAAGATTTGGCCGTGGGAGCCAATTACAAAGTCTTGTGGCAATTAATATTTCTTCCCTAAAATGTGACAGTTAATTGAAGGTGGTCATGTTGAAAGTAACCGAGGTTTTTAGTTCGGCTTGGAATGGGAAAATTAATTAATTAATTAATTTCATGTTTTATGGCCCACAATAATAGGACAGTTGGGAAATACTCAAATAATTTTCGCTTATTGATAAAAGATATGTATTTTTGTTAATACAACCTTTGCCATTAAAGTTCTTCAATACTACGTCCTGCCTGAGAACTCCAGCCTCAGTCATCATGTTTAGTTTCTTCAAGTAACAGAACGCCCAGTATTTCAGCGATGTTGAACGATGCTGGAAATTTCAAACTGAGTGGTTAATTACAACTTACGAAACTGAGACATCGGTAACTTTTACGTCAGTTACATTCATAAGAACGTTAGGCTACTAGGCAGAGATTTCGGACAGATAATGTTTAATATTACCGTATATTAACAGGAACATAAACTTTAACCGTTTTAAAGCGTCTTTAATTATTAAAGAGAGATTGAATTGACAGCAGTGTTGGCCTAGTGGATTCAGCGGGCAACTCTCATCCCTGAGGTCGAAGGTTCGATTCCCGGCTGTGCACCAATGGACTTTCTTTCTATGTGCGCATTTAACATTCGCTTGAACGGAGAAGGAAACATCGTGAGGAAACCGACATGTCTTAGACCCAAAAAGTCGACGGCGTGTGTCAGGCACTGGAGGCTGATCAGCTACTTGCCTATTAGATTGAAAAATGATCATGAAACAGATCCAGAAATCTGAGGCCCAGACTTAAAGAGGTTGTAGCGCCATTGATTTTTTTCTTTTTTTTAAATTATTAAACACGTTAACTTCCCGACTGAGCTCTAATAGATTTTCCTATCAAAGCGCGAAATTATTTTTTTATTGCTTAATCATACGGTAAAAGAAAAAAGGTACTCAGAAACGATAGAAAACTGATTACTTTCTTGCCACGTCAAGGAAACAGTTGCAGAAATCTGAGGAAAAGGCCAATTGGTTTTGATTAGATTATGGCCTCAAATTTTTGTTGCATGTACACGAACCAAGCCTAACTTACCGGCAAGCTGAAATACCCAGATTTCATTTTCTCTATGTGGACTTTATTTACTCTGGATTCCTTAGTACATTCTTCTATATAATCTACTTTTTTATGTACTTTAGGAATGCAATCCGGAGGCATGCTAGCCATAGGTTGTGCGGTATCTGTCGAAGCCGCCTGCAATAGGAAAAATCACCATGTTTTCAGTAATAAGTGAACATACGACAACTCAGCATTTGGCTAGTATGTATATGTATTTTATTATAAAAGTTTTGTATACCACGAAAACCTCCGTAAGGGAGCGTTCAAGTATTACGTCACGCAATTTTTGGAGATTATGAAACCCCTCCCCCCATGTAACGCACCGTAACGTTTTTCTGTACCCAATAGAAAAACGTTTCGTGGCCACCAAAGTGACTTTTTATACCTAAAAGTTACCATTATGTGGTGTAAAGTACTCGAAAGTCGAAAATAATATTAACAATAACGCGTCATTCAATCCCCGCCCCGCATCGTAACGTTTTACAAAAGGACCTCCCCCCCTCCCAAAATTCGTTACGTAATACTTGAACGCTCCCTAATTTATGAAAACTAATCTTATCATGTGAATTTGACAACCGCTATTTAACTAATTTTCAGTTATGCTACTTAAGCTTAGGTTTCTTAGAAAAGAGGTGCCGTTATCTAACGGCCGTAATGTAATGTTGGGTGACGTCACTCATACGTTGTCTGTAAATAACATCGGAGTAGGTTTTCTAGAGAACGTTGAGTGTCACCGTACCGTCAAATAGCGGTGCTGTGATTTGAATTACGGCCGTCATAGTGGTGATAAACATTAGTTCAACGTTTTTCGCGTGTAGCGGTGCCCATATTAAATTAATACAATGAGTGGAAACGTGACTTGGACGAGCGAAAATGGATGTTTTTTTGCATTATGTTAAAAAGTAAAGACGGCCGTTATTAACAACCGTAAAATGACGGCCAATATACGGACAATAGACGGAAAATTTCGACTGGTTTAACTAGTTATTTAAAATAATAATAATAAAAGCTTCTTAACATACATTCAAACACTTATTATAATTTATAATCTATATAACACTATTCCTTCCGTGATACCTTTATGCTCTTTTTTGGCAAAGGATTCCTACAAATCCCGCTTTCTAGCTTTTTCCTTAATCTGATCAGATAGTGGATAGACCTATCCACCTTCTAAATTGTATTTTTCTTCTCCTTTTATTGTACCTCGAGCACCAGTTTAATATTTTGCTGTCCCACTTTTCTGTTTATCCAAATGCTTTGCCCATTTCCACTAGGTTATTTATTTTTATTGTGATCTGCGACCTTAGTTGTTCTTCTTTATTATATCTATTATTCTCTTCCCTAAGTCATCGTTTCATCAATAATTTTTGACACACCCGTACTTTAGTGAGCGCCCCAGCTTGGGATCCATATGTTACGACCGGAAGTACACAAGTTAAGTAAAGCTTCCTTTTAATTGGCATGTTCGTTTCCTTTAGTTAGTATTGCATACAATTATTGGTATAATACAACCATGAACATAGAATGCCAATATTTTCACTGTAATATAACATTTCAACGTAAAAAGCTGAAAATGTAATTTTAATTTTGTCCCATTCGGTGTCGAGGCCCTTGGTCCGTGGGGTCCTAGCGCTATAAGGCTTTTTAAGGAAATAGCAAAAAGGTTAGTCGACATCACAGGAGACCGAAGAGCTGGCAACTACCTCGGACAAAGAATTAAACTAGCAATTCCAAGGGAGAACGCTGCCATCTTTGGAACCTTGCCTAACGGGACTCTTATAATATATTGTAAGGTTAGTTATTGTATTTTGTTATATTAATTTATGTTAGCTTTAGTTAGTTAAAATAAGTTATAATAAAAATGATTAAACTGTGCCTTCCGTTGTTAATAAATCCGCTATCCAACACAAAGAGTTTTTCAAATCGAACAAACAAGTTTAGCCAAACAAACTCCAAATACAACTACGGTAAGTACTACAAATAGAATTCGTAAAACTTTACCCGAACACAAGCAACGAAGAGAAGCAAAACTACACCCGTTGGAACCTCCATATTGTTGAAACTCGAGCTGCAATGACCACATCTACCGAACACAAACACAAGACTGATGTCAACTTTATTGAAAGAGGTAATTCAATAGCAAACATTTAGTCATAACTATCATTCATACAACATGATGTTTTAATTATCTACACGCCTCATTGGTCATCCCCATTTTATTAGACACCAATTGTGGAGAACGTGTCAAAATAATTTTGATCTTAAGGTAATTTTACCTTGACGCGAACTGTGACTCCCGTATCTCAAAATTCAATACAATTTTGACGTACGGGAATTATTATATTTATTAAGAAGATTTACAGCTTATAAATAAATTATATACTCAATATAAACAAGTTTTTATGCCCATAAACAAATCTTCACATATAATTAAGTACTTAGATGGATCTTATAATTACTAAAGAATTCAGACAGTGGTACACACAATAGGGTGGCAGGGATGGCAAAATTCCACGGGCCCCCGACCCAAGAGGGCCCAAGAGATATTATGTTCTATGGATGAATGTGAAGTCTTCAATACGCATTGGGCTAGCGTGGGGACTACAGACCATTCCCTCTCGCCTAAGAGAGAAGGCCTATGGCCATTACTGGGACATAAACAACGTGTAATTAAGTACGCTGAAAATCTCGAAGTTTATTGAAATTAAGCTGAGTACGACGACTTTTACTTTTACCCCAACAACAGAATTGCCACGAAAGAAGATTTGCCACGGGCCCCAGATGGTATAGTTACGCCACTGAATTCAGATGTCAAAGCTTTTCTTGCCATCACTATTACATATTGTATAAATACAACACGAATACTATTAGAGCAATGTATGATCATCAGTTTAATTTCTGATATATCTTACACGGTAAGTTTATCATTTATTGATTTTTACATGCAAGTAGGTAATCAGACGTCTATGTCTGATATATATTTTAGAATTTTCGTCTGAAAATACCTGTTCACCGTACGACGAAACCCCCGTGAATAGTATGACCCACTGGGACACATCCAGAACAAAAAACTTCAGAATATTTAATTTAATTCACAAAATCGAATACACTTACTAGTTAATTAAACACGGCTGACTTCGTGGTTTTATTATTGCACGTGCGTTGAAAAAACATTCGTCTAACAATGGATTGCGCTAGGACAATAGGTTCACATATCTTCTAAATCTAAAACTGTATAACAACGTTATTATTCAAATAAAAGCAAAATTTTGCGCGCCAATTATTAACGATAAATGGAATCTTATAAAGGGAAAACAATTATTTATTTGTTTGACAAAGATTATAGAGGCTAATATAAAAATGAGATATACATAATTTTAAATTTTATGGTAAATTTTTTGAGGTCAAAAGGAGTAGGTATCTAGTCCTTTAATTTATGTAGAATAATATATGTAATATTTTGGATTTTTAATTTATCCTTTTAAAAATTATCCTTATTCTGTTTCTCAGTGTTGTTGTTGGTTGATTTAAGGAATTTGAAAAAAAAAGAAAAAATAACTTTAAAATAAATTTTATTCACGGGAAATAAATTCGCTTTTAACAAAATTACCCATAATGCTTAGTATACTATTATTATTTTCAATGACTGATGTTGACGAATGGTTTTTACTGTCGTTTAGTAGGCATCACACAGATGGCGTTGTACGAAATTAAAAAATCAGCACCAAATAAAAATAGCATTAAGTTTTTAGTACAAGGTGTTTTAGTACAGATGGCGCTATACTTAATAAAATGTATGGTATTTCAATGGGTATTTTATAAAGGTGATGTTGAGGTATTTAATAATGTTTATTGGAAGATGGAGTGCTTGGCGTCCTTCTCGTGGTAGCATTTAGCATAGTTCCAGGCGGTTTGTTGGGGAGTGTTACCCTTGTTGGCCAGACAGGTGTCAATAAGTTTTTCTACTGCTGGTTTGTCGGCTGCAAAGATAATTTTATTTACATATTTTAACTAGTATAAGTAACTATTCCGGAGTATTATATATTATTGATTGAAGGCAGAAATATGAATCAACTATATACCTGCGTTAGGGACCTTGGCGAGGGCGACATCCTTCTTGAACTTGCCGTCCTTGGTCATGAGCTCAGACTTGATCAACATACACAGGGCATACTTCTTGAGGGGTTCGTTTTCCGTCTGGAAAAACATACTTTTTTAAATGCAACTATATAGTATATGTCAAAAGTATTCTCACGCTGGTTGTAATGCACTCAGCCTGTAGATACTAGGATATATTTTTGGCGATAAAATAATGGTTTTAGGTTGAAAACTTACGTCCACTACAAAACACATCTTATCCAATTTCGATTTTATATTTCATTAGCGGACCGACAGACGTTGTCCTGCATGATGTTATAAGCGATTAGGATATTAAACAAAGTATGAAAATACCGACTGCAGCACCATCTGACGGGCTGATTTGTGAATCTAAACAATCCAGGGCCCCACCCAAACGCATATAAAAAAATCATTCAAATCAGTCCAGCCGTTTATGAGCAGTTCAGTGACATACAAACGTACAGTAGAATAATTATATATATTTGTAAGCTATCCTATCTTTTAAGTTAGATCAAACTACACATGGTATGCAAATTTGATTGAAATCGTTTAAGTAGTTTAGGAGTCCATAGCGGACAAACAACGTGACACGTAATCTAATTTATAAAATTCTCGTCTCCTCCGAAACGGCTCGACCGATTCTTATCATTTTTTTTATGCATATTCAGTATGTCTGAGAATCGGACAACATCTATTTTTCATCCCCCTAAATTTTAAGGGTGGTCCCACCCCTAAATTTTTATTTTTAGACAAAACATTTTGTTTTTTTTTTATGATACAACATACAAAAATACATACGACCCTTAATTGTCACCCCTCTACGATCAACCCCTATTTTTATTATAGTAGATTATTATTTTTATTGAACTAAAAAAAATATTCCTAGGAATAATATGTACATGGCCAAATGACGTTTGCCGGGTCAGCTAGTTTATATATATTAAGATGAATAAATGACACTGTTATTGTTAACCTAAATGAGGCGATTCATAGTTACATAATATAGCTGGTTTGTTAAAAAGCACATACCTTAAAATCTCCAGTCTTCAGTTTGGTAACCAGCTGTTCGTCAGCCTTGGATTCAGCAAGACATTCACCCCTGTGCTTCTGGAGCTTCTCCTTCTGCTCTTCGGTTAGGGCCTGGAGAATGTTATTAGCATTTGCAACTTTAGTAAAATATTTACAGCGTACGTAACCATTAATATTTAAATGTATACATAAAGCTTTAATATACTAAAATAATAATATCACTTCATTGTAGAGAACAACATAGTATGCAACATATTAGTCATATAGACGACGTTCGCTAGCAAAAGTATTTGTATAGTAAAGCCCAATTTACGAAAAACCGAGTTCCTTAAATTATATGTTGTCAGAATTTATATAGACTAAGGGTGAGATCTATAGTGCGCACTTGGACTTTGCTCAGACTTACCTTACGAAAAACTTTGCTTAGTGTACACTAAGGTTAAACTATGATTTCGTATTTATAGACATTTTAACGGTGAGATTAAGCTAAGCCCAAGCTAAGACAGAAAATGTCAAAATACAAATTGATGTTTCATTTCATGCAATACTTTGTTTATTATCCTTTAAAAAAGTAAACAATAACAAATATTTAAACATCTAAAACGGTACACATATATCTTCAATTTATGTATTCATTTATTTTATTATTGCAATAACTAGAAATTTACGAGTAACCTTTAGAAAATGTATTAATTATTTAAAGATGACAATAATTTTATTACGTAGAACGGATCGCAATGTTTTGACAACAGCAACAGAGCACTTGTATCAACAATTGAAAATTTTAAACCACTTTTTCTCTTTTTTGTTTCTGTTTGTATGAGCTTATAAATATTAAATTTAACTTTCTTCAAAACAACGACTGGCTTTGTGACTTGGACCTGGACCAATCTGGATCGTATACCTACTTAACTCCTACGCATTCCCGAAGCACTGTGACGTTTTGTGATTTGGCTTTGTTACATGGACCGCTTGGAAATATCAATATCGAAAGTGACATGATGGAGAGAGAGAGTTCTATCTTCAATAGAAAACATTGAAAGGGTAGGAACTGCAGCCGATATGAATCCACGAATGCCTAAAGTATATGTTCGGAACTGGATGTTTTCAGGTAATATTGTGTTCATAAATATGTATGGTTTTTCAATTTGATATATTATACCTCTTCTCAAATGATTTTAAATACATATGTTGAAGACTTTTGTCTTCTGACTTTCAGAAACATAACATATATGTGACTAATAATAATTTATTGACATTACAGATGGTGTGTGGTGATCTGAACAGCATAAGCCAATCTACAGTCTGTTTAATTATAAATAAAGTCTCTGCAGAGTTGAGTAAATTACTTCCTAGATTTGTAAATTTTCTAAGAAATATGAACACAGCCAAAACGAAGTTTGAAGAATTAGGAAGATCTAATACTCACCATGGCCTAAACAGTATAATCGGAGCTATTGACTGCACCCATATAAAAATTAATAGACCCGAAGGTATCGCTCACTCTGAAGCATACAGAAATAAAAAAGGGTATTTTTCTGTAAATGTGCAAGCAATAATAGGGCCTGATATGGAAATATTTGCTATAGTGACTAGGTGGCCTGGCAGTTCACACGACAGCAGGATATTTAGAAAATGCCTGTTTTAGTAGGTGACAGCGGTTATCCAGCACTTAACTTCATGTTAACAACACTTTTAAATCCAATGACAAGAGCTGACAATATTTATAATTATTCTCAAATAAGAACTAGGCATATTTTTTAAAGGTTTTTCGGAGTGTGATAAAGGAAATTTCCATGTTTACAGCTAGGACTACAGTCAAAATTGACAAATACTAGTTATATATAATTATAGCTTGTGTTGTATTGCATAATATAGGTATACAGAGAGGGGATGCCTATGATGATGGTGATCTTGCTGACAGCAGAAGTTGAGTAACACAGAAACAATGAAAGATCTCCTACAGGTCTAGCATTCCGGCAATCTGTGATTGCACAATTTAACTAGGTAATTTGTTTGGTAATAAAGAATATCAAAACAAAACTTGTTTCATTTTAATCATTTATTTTCTGATTCTTTTTTTAAGTGTAATACATATTTCTAATACTAATTTATATTTTTGTTGAAGAAATTCTATTTCCAACAGATTTTTTTAATTTCATATGTTCCACTCCTATCTCAAATTTTTTAGAGTAGTCAGGTAATAAATGGTAGAAGATTCAGGGAAACGAAAATAACAGATGTGAAGCGAGAGACATCGGTTAGGTTATAGTTTGAATTTCGTTGTCACTATAATATGCCAGGGCTGCCAGGTGACATACAAAATCACACCAGTTATTTTTAAGATTTCTCAAAAATGGGGTTTGAACAATTACATAAATAATATAAATAAACAATAATAAATACCATAATAATGTGTAATTATTTTAATTCATGCATTTCATAGGTATTTATCAAGATCATTTATAATTTCTTTGAATTCAAATTCTATTTTTCCCAAAGTCTATGGAACTCCGATACAAAATGGCAACACCGTTCATTAAAAACCGACAAAAATAAAAAGTCCAGTAAAAGATATGATGGTAAAGCAAATTTTGGGCCATCATTTTTGTTAGGCTTATAGTCAAAGTTTTTGGTAAGTCGTCGATTTCGTGGACTTGAGATTAAGCTAAGCCAACACTAGGGAGAGATTCGCAGTTTGCTCTATAAATACCGACTGTGTCTTAGCTCGATAGTTAAGTCAGAGCAAAGTCTAAGTGCGCACTATAGATCTCACCCTAAGAATCTTATCAAAAACTTTGGGCTGTGGTGGCTTATACCCGTGTAGTTATTATTTTGTTAATTTGAAGGGCAAATCGTGGTGTAGAATAGTAACAGCATTTTGTTTGAAGTTAATTTGATGCTGGTAAAATTTTATTTATAGCAGAATGCGATCTTTTATATTATGTTATAGGATAAAAAGTTTTATAAATTATTGTTTTAAAAAAAATATCATAATGATATTACCATTTTAAAAGTATTTGTACCAATTAAATATAATCGTCAAGTTTTTATCTTTACATTTGCTTTTTATTTTCTCACTCTGTTTTGGTTAGTTTATGAGTTATTAGTTGTCTCTATTAATATTAGATTTATTTTTTTTGTAATTGGGTATCGCACATGCCTTTACAATTCTTTTTCTTATTACTATTTTTAAACATATTTTTGTGAACCATATTTTACTTTTTAGTTTATTATTGTGGTAATTGTAAATACATATAATATACTTTGAGTCGACTATAAATAAATAATGAATTAGCAAATTATAATTGTAACTACCGAGTTTCTAGCCAGTTTTTTTTAATAATTTTCAGAGGCGTTATTCATCAAAATTATATAAATAATTTGAAAAGAGCATTCAATGTATAAAAATATCTCACAATTTTTTTTATTGGAAGTTAGTTTTGACTTTATTGGTTATATAAAATACATTTTATTTGATAATTGTCTCACCTGAACAGCCACAAAGACAACGCACATAACAAATAAAACCTTCATGATGTCTAGCTCCTGTTACAACAAACTAAAGAACTACGAACGTGAATTCTCTTTTATACCAAGTAAGCGAGTGTTTTGTTTTTGGACAAGCGTGTTTTGTTTTTCGATTATTGGTTCGAGTTATATATAGTACCTAATCGGAACTCTTAGTTGTTTTTTACAGTGACAAAAACTAATACGATATATATAATAGTATATATTATACTATAATATATATTATCCCATTATATAAAATAGTCTATATTGTGTACTAGGATAGTGTTAAAGTCAAAGCTATGAGATCAATTGCTACATAACAATATATTTAATTAGAATAGTCATTATAATGTATTCTAGTTTTATAAAAAGCTTAGCTGTAGTATTTTTTATTTTTGTATGTGTGTAACGAATGGAACTAAATTGTTTAAAAAAACTATTCTACACCATTCGAATGAAAAATTATTTTTAACAGTGATTAATTTTTCAAATATTAAAAAGTCCAGCCGAGCAAAGCTGGGATAGGCTGCTAGTACACAAGAGTTCCAAGGCCAAAGATCACAAAGAAAGATGATCAACCTTTTAATGTATGCTTATAAAAACAAATAATCCTAACTAGCTGACAAACTAGTTTTGTTACTTGTTTATGACTGGTTCTCATTCGGTATTTTCCATTAGTATTATTAATTGAAACTCGACTTGTTGCCATCCAACATTACTTATACAGTTGCTATGTTTATTTGCCCAATATTCATACAACATATTAATGATCTCTATTATGAGATAGTTTCGTTTGTTCGTTCGTTTGGTACCGCAGGGACCACTGTATCGTGTTGAATTGTCTGTTTATCAAATGACTTAATATACTAGAATATTTTAGAAATGTGGGCATTTCCAGTATTCAATATGAGGTATGCGAAAATTTTCTGCTTGTTCGGGCAAATTTGTTGAAGATGTGAGAGCAATAGTTGAAACGTTATTTAAATAAAACTTACCTGAACGGCCAAAACACAGACGGCTAATACGAAAAGTGACTTCATTTTGCTTATACAAATAGTACTATGCCCCAGGATTATACAGGAGTCCTTATATAGTGCTCCTAATGGGAGATAATCGCAGATTAATCAGTTGGCGATTCGGGCTACAGAGGCTGCCAACATTTAGAATACATATTTGTATATAAAACCTAAACTTGGCTTTTGACTCTTGGGCCTTGCGGTTCAAGTGCACAGGTCCTAATTAAAGATTTAAGTCGGCGCTTGGTAAAAGTACCGGTGATCCCAGAACTGATGCTTTTCTCGCTCAACGAATAAGTATAGCAACACAGCGAAGAAATGCCAAAAAGGTGTAGGCTTGGCTGTGTAGCCAGAGACGAAACTTTTTTAATTTAATTTAAATAATATATTTATTACTTGAAAAATTAAAGGAATATTACTTTTTCGTTAATTTTAACGTTCACGAACTACCCTTTATCCGAGCACTTATAATACACTTTTGTAACTTTTTTACCTTATATATTTGTGTCAAGTGTTCCACAGTATAAAGTGAAATAATAAGAACACAAAAGTATGGTAATGAAGACTGTCGTAATACACCTTAAGTTAAATAATCTTAAAGCGCTGTAAATCTAGCCTAATTCTCGTTTTTAAATCTTACCCTAATTTAAAACAAAATGCGATGAATAATGTTATGTGGCTTTGGAATAAATAATATATGTATTAGTAGAAACCGCGAAACTGTTTAATAATGTTAGATAATAGGGTTGACATACAGAATGATAGAGAAAACACTTGGATTTGTTTTGTATTCTATCACTCTTGTCTTCGATAATTAATTTACTACATGTACAGGTTTACATATATAACTAGCTATAATATAAAAAAATCATCACTATGATTAATTAAACAAATTTATGCTCAAATAATTGAGCATAAACCTTTATATATCTATTTATTAATTTTTCGCTTGTTTCTCTTTGTTTTTATAAGTTTACTACCCCTGTCGAGGTTGCGTCCTGCGTAGGTCATTGTGGAAAGATCTGGGCCTAACTTGTATTGTAAACACAAACACACTACAGGTTTCTTAGAAAAATGTTTTTATATATTTTGTAGAATATTATCATTATTTTGTTACCGTTTATAACCAATCTAGTTGTCATATTAGAAGGTGTCTCATTATTTGATACATATACACTTGTAACATAGTGTCTTCCTCTTGTCTCACAAAGGCACACGAACAATATAAGAGACAATGTAGGTTTATGAACAATAAAAAAATATTTGTTTCTAAATTTACATTAAGTAGAACGTAATTTATATATAAGAAGACCTCGCTATAAACTCTCCGACACTCTTTGTAATCGGCAAAATTTTTGCTTTACTAAAATCTTGGTATGAAACTGTAATCGTTCAATCGGATAACATATTGAAATAATTAATTATAATTTTGTATTATTATACACTGGCATCGGCAAACATAATATAAAATATGAAGAAAACTTTAAAACTTTCCTTTCAAACCAACAAACTTTGCCCTTGCTAGACATAAATATGAAAAATATTCTTGTTTAACAACTTTTTAATTAATCAACAAGGATGAGTTTCTTAATACGATGGAATATTTAATGTCTCTTCTATATATTGATACATACGAAGTCTGACCTGCGACCATACTCTGCAACATCCAATAGACGATAGCTATGCCGAAGTTTTTGTATACAAGTTCGATTTTTACTCTTTTCTTTCAATATCCGCTTATGTCGCAGCCTTGGGATCGCGCGGAACAAAGACTCATTATCCGGATCTGGATTGCTGTCGGCATAGCTATTGGATTTCCAGAGTAAGAGCCCTGGACGGAGTTCAAGAATTAATTAGATGTTGGAAAGTATTGTAATCTTGTAGGTAAGGTTGGGAATCTTGAGAAAACTTTGAAAAGTCTTTAAATATTATATCATAGGGTATCTTAATAGGGCTTTGGCTTTCAAAAAGCACAAGTTGGTGGAGGTTGGTGAAGTAAAACACATAATGAAGGTAAACTGATAATGATGGGCGGTTTATATACTTATATTTTATTATAATTTTAAATTCGACTTTCGTGATACTGTATTGTGTAATTTAATAGAAATTCTAAAGAAGGGTTAATTGGACAGAACATAATTTTGAATAAATATAACAAAATATCTCAGAAGCAAAAGGAAAACTTCATGTTAAAACGGTCAAGTAGCACTAGACACTGCAACATTTAATATTTTATTCCTCTTTTCATCTCAAGACTAACGTTTCATAACTTTAACTTCGCAGCGTCAATTAATACAAAAAATACAAAAGGTAGAAATTTATATGTGATTTATGGACTTCACCTGGCCGAATACTAAGCCAGCTTATTCCACGAACCTTATCTTAACCACAAATCTTTTTCCATGACCATAAAATATATCCAATCTGCGATGATACTCGATAATTAAAAAAAATGCATTCTTTGCATTTATTTTTTACTCATTCAATCACATTTGCCTTATGCTAGTTACTTATTAGTTCATTTCTCAAATAAGTTAAACTTGTTTTAAACAATTATTCTCTATATTTTCTTAGACATAATCATAGTCCCTATTCTGTTAGCCGTACAACAAAAAAAACATACAAGCCGAATGAGAGCAACCTAGTAAATATATATTTGCATTGTTTAATAATACATTAAATGTAATTACTTTTATTTTCTTAAATCGAGAGCGTAGAACGGATAAGAAAAACTGGCAAGAAACTATCGATCAGATGCATACGCGATACTTGAGTAATGACCATTCAACCTTGGTGCAATAATTGGATGATCTACGTCAGGAGGCATTAAAATTTGGCCTTAAACTTAACTCGCGAAAGACAAGGGGGAGAAAGAGGGAGGAAGAGACATATTTACCTTTTTTATTTTATAGAACAGGGGGAAAACGGGCAGGAGGTTCACCTGATGTAAAGTGATACCGCCGCCCATGGACACTCTCAATGCAAGAGGGCTTGCGGGTGGGCCATACGCTCTGAAGGGATCCAAATCACATTGCCAAGCAAGCCCTCAACTGGAATCCTCAAGGCAAAAGAAAACGCGGCTGCCCAAAACAGACCTGCTAGCGAAGCATGATTGCAGAGACGTGAAAGCTGGAATGACATGGAGTGAAATTAAGATTCATTCATTATGCTGCCCAGGACCGATCAAGCTGGTCTACGCTGGATGAACTCTGCCCCACCTGGAGGCAGTGGCAATGACAAGGGGGAGCGGTGGGAGCGGGCCGCACCGGGTGTCACCTTTTTTGGGGTGACACCCCGGGTGGGTCTCTCAACTTTAAGAACAATGAACAAACAAAAAAAATCGCTAGCATAAAAAAATATTTTTCAGGGATTCCTAGCACTAGCTCAGCTCTATTTAGAATTCGGGGATTCCCGCAAAAGAGCCTGAAGCTGTCGTAGGGGATTCCCCGTCCCATACTCGCGATCTTTGTCCTTTATCATATAAAATTTATTGTTTTTTTACTTTCGATGGGGTGACACCACCAACAGCCGCACCAGGTGCCACCCAAGGTAGCTACGCCACTGCCTGGAGGACATAGGACCATAAGTCAAGTAAGCTAACCTTGGCGCAATAAGGCAGTAACTCAACCTAACAAAATACCAGATAGTGAGAGTAAGCAGAGTGGGTATTTTCCAGGCAGTGTGTCGCACGGCAACATGTTAAGTGATAAATTGTGGCAATCAGCGTAAACGCAGTAATCGCATCCCGAATGATTTATTTATTGTCCATTGACCCTCTTGACATTTGAGGATTAGGACAGATAACTCCTAATAGCTGATGTAAACATATCCCGAAACAATAAATATTATTACTGGTTCACTGGCACACATTTCCCAAAAAATTGCCTAAGAAAACTAAATTTGGGCATGTGGACAACACAACATAAAGCATTTTTGAATTTCAAATTTAACATTTTGAAATACTATTTCAAAAAATAGTCATTGATTTATACAAATTTAAGAATGGAAAATGTTTGTCTAGGAACAGGAAAACTTGAAACACCTATTAAACAATTTAAACATTTTGTGTGGGTGTGTGTTTTGCTTGTTGTCCGCGGTCGATTCTTGATGAATTAATCTCTACAATTGATTCTTGTTTTACGCACTTATAACTGGATATAACTAAAAAAAATAAACAAGTTATTTTAATAAGATAATTTTCAACTAAATATTATATATATGATATAATAGTATACTTAGGGACAATTAATTAGTGTCATAATTGTCTAAAAATCAGGTTATCCTATTATTATTTAAGCTTTATCAATTAATTAATTTTAAAGTTTTTAAGTTAAATTTCTTTTTTCTTAGTATTGTCTTTTACTGACATAACTTTTACACATTTAAAGGAAACAATTTTTTACCGGATTGAAGTAAGTATGTAAAATAATTGTAAATTTATAATACATAAATACATAACTTCAATCCGGTAAAAAAATGTTTCTTTTTTTTTTTTTAGTGGTCTAGTTTTGGTAATTTAAGGGTAAAAGCCTCTTATTCCCATATCTCTTTGTCTTGACAAGGTTATCCTATAATACAGCGTATTTTTTAGCGTGGACTACAGTGAGGCTAAAGAAATACTTATTACTACGTATTTTGTTTATATATTTCTTAATATTGGTCCTTCTTTCTGCCCTTACAAAATTTAAAAACCCGTACATTATTATGTTAATTGTTTTTTAAATATTAATTTATCTCCAAAAACTTTTACGTTACATAAGAAACTGTTTTTATTTCAGGAGGCAGATATATTTATTGTGTATAGATAACTTTAATTACAATTTAAGTTAACGTTTAAAGGTTAGTTAGACGTTTACTTTATTTCATTATTCACTTATTCCATAAAATTTTCTAAATAGTCTTAGTTATATTTTGTTAGCCAATCCGCAGGTGCACTGTTTATGCTGAAATAGCCAAACGTTATAATATTCTTATATGAAATAAGTCCAATTTTCTTTTGGATGTTTTTTTGGTGATTTTTCATAGCCATTTATAAAGCATAGCCGGGTTTACAATGCACGGCCTGAGGGTTTAAAACCGCGCCTACTCATCTACACCATTACATCTCTAATCGAAATGCCTTATTAATTATTTAAGGACCCGATAGGTTTATAGGTAAAGTTAGGTTCTTTAAAGTCAAACAAATTGCGAAGTAAATAGTCTATAAATATAATCGTCTGATTTTTACTTTTAATCATTTTGATGTTTTTGTTTTATTGTTCTTTATTTTAATTGTTTTTTAATATAACCATAAAGTCCATAACATGACTCTTTGATAACCTCTTTTCATGCTACTATTTTTTAATTAAAATAATGACTGTTATGCCTATCACGTGCTTTGACCCTATGGTCACAACTGCATTACCCAAACGTCGATGAAAACGTTGCAAACTGGAACCATTTGGTGCTTGGCATCGTTCTACGCATGCGCAGCACAGAGTGAGAGGACAGACAAACATTTATACGTCAAACTGTACTCATGGTTACTTGTAAACAGTGCTGAGGAGAAATGGTGAAAGTTAAAGTAAGTAACTAATTCACTCTACGAGTATTTTGTATGTTTTTAATATTACAAAAACACAAATCATAATAAGCGATCAAAAAATATTGTAAATTTCTAAAACAACACCCATATTTTAATTTAGATAAATTTGAATTTCGAACATGTCGTAAGTACTTTGTGATTGGTGTTTTTGGTAGTTTTAAAGTGAGGTAACTACTAATATATATATTATATAGTGTTTACATTTCCCCGTGTTAAAAATGTAATGTAATCCAAATACTTTCCATGTTATAAACAAAGGAAAGTTCACATTTGAATATTATTAATTACGTACTGTTATAAAATTGTTTTTAATTTCAATTTGACTACTTCTAGTAGTTTATTTTTTTTAATACATTTTTATCGATTGCAGTATCATAACAGTGAAACTGTTAAACACCATAGGTTTATTAGTAATCCAAAAATAATCTACAGTTTCCTTTTATATTTTCGCTGTTTACTAGAACTAGAAGTGTTAAATATAGATGGCGCTAATTTCAAATGCTATATGGCTATCACTTATAATTAAAAATCAACCTAATTACTACGAAACATAAACCTCTTTATTTATGCTTCGCTTTTGTTCATCTCTAAGTAGTCCCAAGCTTTTGTACCACAATAATTTATTCATAATAAAATCATTTAATCAAAACCCTTACACTTGAAAATCACAATGTACTTGGAAAATGTATACATTGTTATATTATTCAGACATTTTAAATGAGTTAAACATGTTGCAATAACATTTAGTTTTTATGAACTTTCCGACATCAAAATGTCAAACTTCACATCGATGACAATATGACATTGCGGCTGTGTCATGTGGCTAACGTCATTCTGTACGTAAAGAAAACACGGGATAAGCGAACTCAATGAAATTAATAAAAGCTTGCCTGAATATTAACGGGTTATTCACACGTATTTACAAAATTATCCTATGTCGCATACTTGGGCTTTTGAAAAAAGTGATTCTGTGGGACTACATGTATTGGTGAGTTATATACACAGTTTCTATTCATATACAACCCTACAGCGTTCATAAAAAATGTTCCTATAATTTCGTACTCTTCAGTTTATAATGTACGTAAATGTAATTTTTAGATATTAAATTCTATGGTCATGTCATAAGTACGAATTGCAAAACCCTGTTGCTTAGTTATATTTTCATTTAATACGCAGAAAACATGCCCCAAATACCATAGACATTGGTGTATATTTTGAAAACAGTAACGTCGTGTGTGAATTCAACAGCGCTTAGTATATCGGTTGTACAAATTTGTTTATATAAAAGTTTCTATATTACTAATTACTATGTAAAGTGTAATTATAATACTTCAATTAACCTATTTTAACTAATCAAAGTACATTGGAATAGAGTCGTGCAACTAATGTATTGTAAATGTAATTATGTTTAGAATGAAATCGACGAATTACGTGACATGACGATAATAGCGGTACATTTTATGAGGGGGTAAAATTCCGATCATTGACATCAATTAAAAAATAGCGCACTAGGGGCGGTCGCACTGCGCTCAATCGATCGTGCTACCGCGCAGGCGCCGTAGCCCCACCGTACGTCAGTGGAGGTCGGTCGCGAGAGGCAGGAAGTCTTCACCATGCCGAAGACCAAACCCACCCCTGAGGAGGATTTAATCATACCACCGCAAGACCAAAAAATATGCGGGACAATATGCGTCTGCCAAATGACTGCCGTCCTTAGTGCCGTGGCCATTGTTTACTTGACAGTAGCCATCTACATGCCATATACTCGTGCTATTGCATCGGGAATCGATCCAACTCCAATTATGTGTACAACAACAAGGGCTGTCAACAAAGAAAACTGTGATTGGGGCTCCTGCGGTGAATGGTGTTTGAGTAAAACATCTGGGGCTTGCATTCAAATTTATGTTAACGTAAGGAACAATGGATCTTCGCTACTTTTATCGGAATGTGGAAGTGCTGCAAATAAAACATGTTATGGGATTGATCAAGAAAACGCTAAGAAGTATCACTGTATAAGAGACGAGTGTAAAAATTTAACGGGAACCTTTAATTGCACTGAAGGAAAATGTATCAACATAACAGATGCCTTTGAGTGTGCCTTTCGGGACACTGATCCACCATTAAAGTGTTCAGGTAGAAGGGGCAAAATAACGTGCATAGATGTCCAGGGACTTTTTTCGTGTAATAGAGGCACATGTAGAAAAATACGAACGCCTTACAATTGTGATCGCCGATGTGTTGACATTCCGACTCGCAACAAAAACGTTATAGTTTTAAGTGGCGATAGAGTATTCTTAGCAAGATGTACGAAGCTTGCTAAAGAAGATGGTGGTGAAATAGTTTGGAATGATAATGGGGAAGAAGTTATAATGTTATCCTGTCATGCCGTTCATAATGGTACCTCGGGAGTAGTTGCTGTCGATTGTATTAATGCTGCCTTGCTACCTCGAACAGAAATCTCTGATTTAACTAATTTTACATATTTACAATACTTATATACATTAAAAGCAACGCCTAATAGAGTTATAGCGCCGTCTGAAGTAGAACTCACTTTGGCTAACGATAGTAGATTGATGATCAATTTAGAAGGTTGTGTAAACACCCTCGCTGACGAATGTAAAGACTTTCTTAAGACCTATGGAAGAGACGGAACTGACCACAACGCCAAGGCTAGATTTCCATGCTTCCATACTCAGAATAACCCAGAAACAGTGGTTGCAAGATTTGACTTGGACGCCACCTATCGTCAATTTTTGATAGCGCTAGTACTTCCAACAGTTCTAGTTGTAGTATCGTGTATAACTTTGATGTTGTGTCAAAGGACGGTTGTAGTTGGTGATGATGCTAAAATGCGTTTCAAGGCCTGCGGAGGTGGACAATCCGAAATGCAAATGCATCCGAATGATCCTGTTTCACCCCTCTGAGATCAGTCACGTAAGCATTATTTGGGTTCAAGGAAATATAACTATTCCTATTGGTTATCTAAGTAAAACATTCTGTTCCTTTGAGAAATATAATAATTTTATATACACATGTATAAAAATCTGCTTAAAAACATATATTTACGACTACTTGACCTTGGCACTAGTGAGTTATGATAAAAACCGGTAATTAATCATGAAACGTTTCACCTGCCTCACTAAGGGTTTTATTATTCTAATTCATTTCATAAATTAGGCTTTAATTTTGTTTGTAATTAAATAATTTTCTGTTTCAGGCGTTCCCCTCCTCTGCGAGGGCCCGGCTAGTTCGCTAAGAGACGATTAATAGCTTTCTATTTGCTAAACAAAAGCTCTCCCAATGTCTACACTAAGCAGATCTAGGGCGACTCTTTCACCAGCAACTTCTGAAAGATCTACTCTGCCTATGGGAGCAACAGCTGATGCTGGAAGCCAAGAATTTACCCCATTGGAACCGACTAGGGAGCAGCTACTTGCACATTTCTTTGAGCGATTTAAATTTTACACTTCTTTATGTCTTGGCACATCAGCTATTCTCGCTGTGTTTGCTTTTTTATTCCTCATTCCATTTGTGGTGGAACCAGCCATACAGACTATACTTGCTGAATTCGCACCGGAAGCCGGAATATGTAGTGTATCAGATCATGTTTATGCTGAGACTCTGACTAATTGTACCTGGGCGTCGTGTAGAGAAGGCTGCACAACAATGCCTACAAGGTGCCACAAAATCCGAGTTAACTTAGCAAGGAAACCATTTGTTGGAAACGAAACACTACCAATAGAGTGGGATGAAATCGATTTGAAATTTCTTATAAATCCTGAAGGATGTGGATATCCCCCAAAAGTGAACTGTTCGGTGTTTGCTATTGAATATGCTGGTAGAAAAGCGCCGAAAATATTTCCTTGTTTCTATAGTATGACTCGACCTGAATTGGTAGTGGCAAGATATTCTTGGGAATCAACGATACGAGGGTTAATACTGGCCCTGGTTCTTCCAACAACAGTCTTTGTGTTTAGTTTAAGTGTCCTTGCGTACTGGCACTGCCACTGTTGCGACAGGGCTTGTAACAGACGGGTACACGCTGAATCATTTACGAGCAAAGAAGAGTAAGTATAAATATTGTTTAATCCTGATTTGGCATGATTTCAGCATGGAAATTTCCTAAAATGCATGAAATTGAAGATCTTATTACATCTTGTAATCTAATCAACCAATTTAGCTCGAATTACTATTTAACTGCAGCGACGGACAAACCAAATTATTCAATTACTGAATTCAACAATAGTTTGATACTAAGTGCGAAACAAAATTATACTCTAGAACTGCAATTTAAAAGTTTAATCTACATCCAAATGCGATTCACGTAGTCAACTTTAGATTTATTTTATGTACAATTGATATATTACAGGATAAATATCAAATTCCACTTCAGAGAAGATTCATCATAGTTTCAGCTATAGGTGTTTAGCAACTATTTTTAGTTTCAAGTACGTTTTATGTTTTAACACTTAGCAGCGTGTTTAGGCTGTGCTGCTTCTTCACGATAGTCATCTGGTCATGGTAGATGTTAATTAATTTACGAGTCACGATCACGGGAAATTTAGCTTGTAGGTGCTACTTTATGTAATATAAAATTTTTCACGTGTACATAGTTTTTGTATGTTTGCGTTTTAGTATTTTTAATCATCACACAAAGTAGTCAATATGTTATGTTGACAATATATGATGCAATTTAATTACATGGATTTGGCTTAATAATTACATCATTTATTTTTGGATTTGATGTAATGTCTATAATAGTAATAATAGTAGTTAAGAGTAACAAATTAAATTCTCGCATCATCTGATAGATATAATTTATTAAATTAAATGGTATTTGCGATAGCGTAAAACATCACAGTATGGTAGGTACCGTTATATTTATTATCAGCTGATGAACATTTCTGTTTAGTCAATGTATTTTACGTCACGTAACTTCGTAAGATTTTGCGCGTTAGAGATGAGTTCCTACTAAAGTACATTAATAGAAAAATTACCCAAAAGCGGTTTATGTTAGATAACAACTTATTTCCCGGGAAATATAATCAGATTCATAAAGATTTTTAAAGTGCTAACTATCAATCTTCTATGTCTTACAGTAGTAAGTTGCTCTGTGAACTGGACGATGACCCAACCGATGATGTATTCTGACGCCAGGCCACCTATCCACGACGTCGCGCATCACCCAGAAACGGCTATACCCAGTTATAAATTTAAAAATAAGAAAGAAAAAGAAGAAGTAAAGTATATTCTAACCGTTTAGTTTATCAGCCCAGAAGCCTGAAGAGTTTTGGATTTATATTTTCAGTGCTTTAAAATGAAATTCTGTATTTTTATTTGTATATATCGATTTCGATTTAAAATTTATCCCTATGTATGAATATTAACAAAAATGGAATTTCATGTTAATGTGTTTATTCAACGTAAAAAATTATGTATTATTAATTACTATTGCATTATATTATTTATATTGAAACTCTCAGTAAAATTTACTCTTTCATATTAATATACTAGTTTTAAGCATTCCGTTTGTTTAAGTTTAATACTGCAAGTCTTTCTATCAGGCAGATATTCAATACGCAGGTTAGCAAATGTCGTAGACAATAATCATTTAGGATAAAATTTCATGGGTATATCTGTTAAATGGTTAATATACCACTGCATAATGGACCACGTTGGCATTATTTATATGAGATTGAATGTGAGGCTTTTAAAAGAATGTTTCATTAGAAATTACAACGCAGTCAACCAAGCACCTGCCGCACACAAACAATCAAATGTAAGAGCGGATCAATAATAGTTCCCTGTTTGTATATCAGAACTCAGAGAGCTATTTATGACGTTCTTCTGTTTCGGCGACAGTTACAGATCTCAGCATAGGTCACTTAAAATATTATTTGACAGTAAATGATTGTGTACTTAATTTCACATTCGAAAAGAAACTTTTCCTGCATATGTTTGCTGGAGGGATATCATGAAATGTGTCTGATATCCACAAAGCGTACCAGCGAAGATTTAAGCTTTTATCAATGTTATTTAATCAAAGGAAGTGCAATACGTCGTCTCTTTCTAAATTTGAGCTAGGCCGGATAATATAAGAAAATCGCTAGCTTTAGCTTTAAGGTTGTAGATAGTTAAATTCACTGTCATAACAGAGATTTACGTTACCAAAATATATTGTTGAATGTAAATATTTGCTTGATTAATAGATTTTCTAAAGCTTTGAAAAGCTTCGTGATTTATACGCATCTTGTATGGATAGTTAATTCGATCAATGACTTTTATGTATCATGCTCTGTACTTAAAAATTCATAATGAATATACGAATATTAAATAATAAAGATTGTATTCAATAATTTAAAGAGAAATTTAGCTTTAGTCTTAAAATATTCGGTTTGGAGCTTATAGGCATTTCTCAAATCATGTTAAAATAAATATATAACCTATAAATCTATTTGATTTAAAGAAAACAATAACGAATCCTGAGTCAAAGCGAAGTATAGTACAAAAGAATATGTAAAAATCATTGATTCTGTCGCACGTTTCAAATACTTTAACTCTATTTATAACGTCTTTGGCTTACGGGATAATGTGTTTTATTACAACTTATACTAAGAAAATTAAACTACATTACTTAATATATAAGCTTACTATATTTATCTAAGTCCAAAAATATAAAAACTAGACACTCAAATAAAAAATCCAAATTGTATTTTATTTTGTGTCAATTATAAATTGTTTGACTACGTTTGTTAATTTAAAAAAAATATATATTTCTATTCATGTAATCGAAATCAATATTGAAATCATCTATATATTATACAAAGCTAAATTAGTTTCCCATATAAATGCGTTTAATACATGTTACGTATAAGCAATAATTTGATTTAAAATGGTTTTATTCAAATTACCTTTCTACATAAGCCTTCGATAAAGTAATATTACTCTAATTATTATTATCTATTACTCTAAATTCATTGTATTCTCCTAAGACGTTACATTTTTAAAGACATACAGTTAAAAGCTTTTTCATATCAAATGCAAGTTTGTTAGTAAATTAGAGTTTTATATTCGCAAAAATTGTGATATACTTATTGTCAAAAGATAGATAAATATAACTGTTATCGTATATACAACTTAAATAGTTATGTTCTTTCAAGAATTAAATTGTGTTTTAATGAATTCTATATTAATATTTAAAATAATACAGTACCTCTTCTAAATTTGTTGTATAATGTTATAATAAAATAACCTAATAAAGTGATGTTAAATATTTTAAAGGTATATTTTATCTCAGTCATAATCTGTACAAAAGATGTCTACGAATCCTTCTAAGATTATGTAAATATAATTTAATAAATGTAATATAAAACTTGTAGTGAGCATGCGAGACACAAAGTGTTATTAATAAATGCAAAGCTTTCATATCGATTTGTTTTCTTTTAAAAATGATAACTTTACCTAATATTTTTGCATCTGTAGAACAAATATTAAAGCCTATATATTTCTCATTTTCTCAAGAATTATAGTTTTCCATTCCCTGTTAAATACAATGGATGGAATGGAACATACATACTTGTCAGAGTCCGTTCCCTAATTTAGTAAAACAACATATAATAAATTTTGTAAGTTAAAATAGATAAGAGATAATCATTTACACGTAAATAGTTTCACTCTTCCAACTGGAACGAGGCGATGTACAATCTTTTTTCAAAAGACAATAGGTTATACATATTTTATACAAGTATGAAATTCGTAGTTTTCTCATTACATTGTTAATACGCCAATGCAGTAGGCTATTCCTAGTAACGTGAGGTCATTCAACTCTTTTAAATATTGAGCTTAATGGTATATCGAGACCGCTATAGTTATTTTATTGGCCGTCACAGTTTATTTCTGCATTTTTTAGAATTCATCTGGTGGATTTATTAGTTATGTATAGACATTTGATTAAAAAAGTACTATAGAACGCGTTTACCAACGTAGACCTACCTTCAGTGGACCCGGTTAGGATAACATCTACAAATTTTTGAAATACAAATATCATATTCACTATACTGACATGACAGAATATATTTGACTAATTATTACTTAAAAGATTAAAAAAATCTCTTCTAATCTTATCCTTGATCTTCTATGAAACCAATAAAACTTTCCGGAGTTCGAAGAGAGTTTAAATTTATTATTTCAAATGTATTAAATATTATTCAAATAAAACAAGGTCCAATTACGATTTCCCAACTCAAAGAGAATGTTCTAGTGTTTTCTAAGATCTAGATTCTAAGAAATAGGTCATAGTCGTTATTAGCGTTTGCTGTATACCTTTTTAGCTATTATTTACTTAACAAAACAATATAACTTGTAGTCTCTTATATTATATCATATTTTTTTTAATATTTCTTTAGATTAATGGCCACAAATATCAACAATGTCATTAAGCACTTGTTATTATAATCACAATGAAGCATGGGCTGGACACAACTGTGCGTTTGTTTCATTTATCACTTTTAATGAGATTTTTGTAGATGATTAGCCTTATCTCTATCTAGATTTGAGCATATTTACTAGAATTAAAACTCGCCAAGATTCGCCGGAAGCCTTGATGTACGCATTTTTGCTGTGTCGTACTTTCAAATAGGCTGTTAAAAGGTTTATGTATACCTTTACGTCGAAGTTATCTAAAGTTATTATACAAATAAGCGAAATTAGTTACGGTTCTAGGTTTATGGTTACTTTACATAGCATTACATTAATAATGAAGGTTGTAACCGCTACGCCGTAGATATGTTGCGTAGCACTGAACTTAAATAAATGATTTGTTAGGATATAATTATATGTATGTAAAAAAATTAAACTAAATATTTTCATGCTATAGAAAATTATTTATAGGTCCAGATAATAAGAAAATTATTAATGTACTTCTCTCTTTTCATCTTTGTCTGTTGCGGTTTAAAATTTTCAATCAAAACGTACTTATTAACTTAAATATAGCTTTTGATTGACGCTTAAATTAAAATATTAAATGGAGGTTTTACTCTTTCGTTAACCGTATTGAATCCTGTTATAATATACCCTTTTGAAATCAATTAAATTTTCATTACAACCAGTTGAGCTGTATACACCTTGAAATCCAGCGAATCATTAAAAATAAGATAATTTATTTGGATTAGTAACATAACAAAGTGAATAAATTAAACAACATTTATATGTATCAATCTTTGCCAACTTCTAGAAATATTTGGCAAAAAACTAATTTCGAACGCCATACTTTAGAAGGTCTTTTCAATCTACCTGGCACCGCGCCAAATGTGTTATTCGGCGATTTCGATTTCAGGGCCCGATGAATCAGTTGCAATAAATTGTAAAGTTTAAGTTGCATGTCGAATCCCTAGCGCCCTTAGTTGCTTGATCAAAAAAGATATACGACCCAATACTTGTCATACATTTCCCTTTAATATGCGAGCGAAAATAATCCTTCTTGGTGTGAGATATGTAAAGCAAAGACTGTCTGCCGCCATACAGTCGACACGACACGGTTTTATCGATTCGCCGTACCGACGCGCGCACTCAAATAAAAGTATTATTTTGATAAAAATCGTTTTTTAAATCTCAAAAATAATACTATAAAATATCTATAATGAATCTATATTTAAATTTTTGAGAAACTTTAAAAAGTTATGTTGCAATAAAAAATATAATTTAAATTGAAATTATTCTAATTCGCAAATTAAATTTGTAACAGTAATCAAATTATGAAATTAATAGAGCTTTTCCTTTGTTTTCAATAAGCTAATGAAATGAAGCTTTTGAAGTGCCAATACAGTCACGTAAAAGCCTGCGCCCCGTTAGTTGTAACGAAAGCGCGGTTGGGAACCGACGCCTATTGACGAGATAAATATAGATTTTTTATTTTTCACAAAGGACAATGGTTTAGTGTTCACAATTAGTGTTTAGAAAAACAGTTTTTATTTCGACTTTGTACTGTGTGTAGTGGTTGCTTCATAAAGGCTATCTTTGACCCCAGTTAATGGTAAACGCATGTACAAATATTCTAATTGTTTGATTGCGTCTGCAATATGTCAAATTATTTTTATGAAAACACTCTTTCTATTGAATACGTAAACTGCTTAGAAAATTTGAAAAGACTATAA